CAGAAATCCTGCAGTTGCCAGTCCTGCTCCATTAGTGCTCTCCTGGCTGCCTGGGTGCTTGCAGCACTGGAACCAAGGAGCAGCAGGGCACAGATGGGTCTCAGTGGACGGTACTGCACCTGCTCAAAGTTTGAGGCAGATGATCTGCCACCGTTATGCTACTGGTCTGTTGACTTGTGCCTGTCACCTCTCTATAAAAAGCTGTAAAACTTCTCTGAACACGTTCCAAACTTCTCAGCCCGCGTTATATGGAAGCACCTTGGGCATTAAGTCCTCTGCTAGCTGAGGGAGGGAGGGGGAAAATGAAGTTCGTTTTCTAAGTGATTTTTTTCTTTCCTTTTGGAGGATTAACAGCTGTGTAGGGGAGCAGAACCATCAAGCCTTCATCCTTGCTCTCTCCTTCTTCCTTCTGACCGCTGTGTATGGAATTAGGCTGACCCTGCACACCGTCTGCAGGGGCCGAGCTCCACTTGTGGCTCTGTTCTACTGCCCCGGGGCCTATTCTGACCACAGGTGAGACCTCTGGGGAGCAGTGGGTCTGCTGGGGCAGCTCAGCTCCTGCCACTCATTCTGTGCTGTTGGCTGTCAGATAGGACCAAAAAGTGCTCCCTAAACAGCTGTAGAAAGCAGGGATGCATCGTGAGGAGTCTGAGATTTGGAGAGAGCTCAGCCTTTGTTTGCAAAAAGCTGTTGGAGGAGCTGGGGTTTGAAGTCTTTATTTGTTGTCCTGTATAGATACCCCTTTAAATACATCTTCCTGCAGATGGAGGTGACAGCCTGACAGTCAGGAGTCTGCGTGCTGTCTCTGCCTCTCATCCCCCAGTGTCTATCTAGTGGCTGTGCCCCTGAGTTACCCATGTAGACAGCATGCATGTGCCCTGTCTGGTGGGAAGGGTGGTGGGAAGCGTTGGACAGGAGTTCAGAGAGAGACTGGAGATGCCAAGGGTGGGTAGAGTCCCCCAGCACGGGTGACTCCACCTTCCTCTGTGCTCCACTTCACCATCTCTCCAGGGTGAGCATCACAGTGTCCTTAAACAAGGACCGGGTGCCTTTACACAGCCGTGAGAGCGAGGAGCTGGGCAGCACAGCAGCAACGTGGAAGAGTAGCTCTGGTAGCACTAAAAGCTCTCATTAACTAAGCCCTGAAGCTTTAATTTTGAGAGAGCCTGTGAGGATTATCTGCTGAGAGCAGCGACGTGAGATCTCCGTGGCAGATGTAGGATTTGAAAGGCTAGTTGATTCCCAGGGAAAGTCGCTCCAAAGCAGCTGCTCCAAAACTAAATGGCTTCCTTCCCATCTTTTGTTTTTTTCCTTGCTGCCAGCTCTGCTCTGTCGTTCACCTGTGTGTGGTACTGTGCCATTGTAACAGCTGGCATGGGATACATCCTCCTCATCCAGCTGCTGAACATCAGCTACAACGTGACCGAGAGGGAAGCTCGGCTGGCTCTGCGGGACAACGCCGGGCGCAGGCTGCTGGGGGGGCTGGTGATAGACACTGGCCAGTATAACAGGGGCTTCCTATGCAACTGGGGCCATTTCTTGAGCCTGGGGTCTTCTCCTCCACAGCGCTCTGCCGAAGACATCGTGTGACAATCCTCTTCCTGCAGGTGACCTTGAGTGGCTTTCCTCAGCAGGGGAACGGCCCCTTCCGCTCCACGAGGACTCCCTCATCCCACAGCTTTCCTCTGGGGTCCCTGTGTCACTGACAACCACTGGGTGGTTCCTCACGGGCTGTTGGCCAACCAGAAGGTGCAGAGGGCAGTAAGCCATACACACAGACCCAGGGAGGAGGAACCTGCTGCCTTTCCACTGTGGGGAAACTCCCCTGCGGCTCAGCTCAGCGGGAAGAAGGGCACAAGGTTTGGAGAACGTGAGATTTTTGTTAGGGATGGACCCTGGTGTGAAGAGGAGCCCACTGCTGGACCTCAGAGCGTGCACTGGTGCCTGCAAAAAGGTTCAGGAATTGCTGGCTCATACCTACAACGTTTTGGAGATGTCAGGAGGGTGAAGTTGTGATGCAGGTGACTGATGGATGGCTGTAGAAGCCAGGCTTTTTTTGGTGGGAAAAAAAGCAGGCAGTCACTGGGCAGCTCCCTTCTCTCTGGTGCATTTTGTTTGGTCTATTTTCTCTCTCTGTTCCATCTAGCTGTATAGATGCTTGTATTAAGTGCCTTTGTGAGCAACATTCCTCTTGGGCTTTGTAAGATCCATTCACTGCTTGACCTCTAGAGTTGTTATTCCATCCCTGTCTGTCTGACTGGGTGAGAAGACACTGTCATCTTCAATCTCCTCACTCTTCCTGCAGCCCGTGTCTGTGTTGGTTTGGGGACTTGGTTCATCTCCCCCAAAGTGTTTCTGCTCTGATGAGGGGTGGTGACATGAGACAGCAGGTAGATAGACCAAGCAAGAAGGTGGTGGTTTGGAGCAACACCTAACAGTGTGCTCTGAGGGGAAAACAAGAGGGCTGGCTGCTGTTGCTGTAGGTTTATGGGAACTGCTTTTCTCCTTCTTTGTCCCACAGGAGGAGGGAACCTGTGGAGAGAGGACAGTTCTGCTAAGAGCATTTCTGGTAGGTGGCAGCTTGGTCAGCTGTGTTGCTAATACCAGTGATCCTGTCCCCTCTCAGCCCAGTGGAGCTGCCTGACTGTAGATGTCAGGGCAGGAAGCCCAGGAGCAGTTCAGCCCCTGTGTTTGCAGGGGAGGGGATGTGCTGGAGCTGTCTGGTTTTGGGGCAGGTGACCTGCACCAGCAGGTGAGTGAATGTGTTACAGATGCTCTGTGAGAATGCAGCTTATTCCTCAGCCTACAACTGTTACTGTACCTGAGCTTCAGCTGACAGCAGAAGTTTTTGGTGGCAGTGGTTTCTGGGTTTGTGGGTCTGCTTTCTTTTTATTCTGCTTTTATTCTTTAAACCTTTTGTGTGTATGTTGTTGGCCCTGCAGTAGTGTGAAAGGCCTGGCTGGAAGAGCCTGGGACAGTGGCACAGGAGTTACAGCTTGGTCCTGAGATGCAGAAGCAGAGGGAGGAGCCTTGTCCTGGCTGGTGATGTTTTTAGATGTGTGTGGAGCAGGCACAGACTGTACCTACCCCTGACTCCACCCAGGTGGGGGGCAGCTGAGTGCTGCCCATTCCCTGCTCTGTGCTGTCCCTGAAGGACAGAGGGGTGGCTCATGGTGCAGCAGGGCTGAGGGTGTCCCTTGAGAACCATGCCATACCTGGGGGGGGTGTGCTTCTGATGACCTGTCCCAGTTTCAGGTTGTGCCAGGCAGGTTCTCTGTGGAACACATCCAGTTCTGCCTTGTGCTCTGTATCATTCTCTGCACGGTTTGATTTTCTCAAGTGACTCTTTCTATAACCAGCAGATAAGTGAGGAGCAGCTTCACTTGGAATAGAGCTGTGCAGGAAGAGTGTCTGAGACTTGCTGAGTGTCCCTTGTTTCCTCTTACCCCTTTCCATCCAGTGAGCAACACTTTATAAGGGGGTAAAGGGGATGCTCCTCTTGCTTCCTGCCTCTCAGGAACACCCTGAGAGGTTTCTGAGCCTACTTCCCTGCCCCTAACATGAAGAAAAAGGCACCCAGCTGGGCTGTGCTCACTGTTCCTCTGGGGCCTTGTGACTGGAGCTCAGAGCCTGGCCGTAGGAGTTTAAATTCACACAAAGACCTCCCCTCCACGTGAGTTGCCTGTAAATATTTGTGTGGCACAGGTGCAGTTTCTGGTGCCTGCTGAGATGAGCTGGAGCTGAGAGGAGGATGCTGCCAGCTGGCAGGTTTGTGATCTTGGATCTCATCCTGCTGGCACTTGGGAGGATTAGGGCAGAATGACTTCCTGGGCTTACACAAACCCCTGCAGTGGAGGCAGCCAACCTCTCTGGCTCTCTGAGTTACCTGCACAGAAATCAGTCTCATGCCCATGAGCTGGAAGAGCTCTGGGAGTGTTTACAGGTGGAGGAAAGTGGTTTCTTAGGCTCCTGCTACTCCTGGCTGGGAGAAGGCAGCTCAGATGTTTCCCTGACTCTGTTGTGCCCCCTTCTCCCAGGGTGTAACCTTGTCCCTTGGTGAGCTCTGGTGTGGGACATTTCATCAGCACTGCTCACACCAGGTCGAGCCCACTCCATTAGAGTGGAGGTGAAGAGCTAAAGGAAATTGAATTTACTGGTGAAGGATTTGGGACAATAAAAGGGTTGCAAGGCCAGGCTTTCTTTTTTTCAGCTGGAGAATGCAGTGAGCAGCAAGTTCACTTGGCTGGAATCTGCAGAGCAATAGTGACTTTTTCTTTAAGGACTCCATTTTTTTTTTGTTTGTTTACCATCCTGGCTTCTTCCTGAGAGGATTTACCTTGTGAATGCCTTGAGAGATGTGAAGCATAAAGTAACAGGATATCTAAAAGGGCAGAAGAGTTGCAAGCTTCAGATGTGTGCTTTGGAGCTCTCCTTTTCATAGCCCTGAGAATCAGCAGGA